ATTGTTGCCGTCACGTCTTGATCGTCTTATATGTACAAGAATACCGAATCTAGTAACCTCTCGAGATTTCATGAACGTTCTAGAAGTGCATGACGTGTCACGTGACATCCGCTGTCGTAATAATAATTTAAGATTTTGTTATATTCAGTATTATATTATTAACAAAACAGCTATAAATGCATTATATAAATGTATTTGAGTAATATAATATAAATGAGATATATAATTCAGAGCTTTGTTTGTTTGTAGTTAAGCGCAAAGCTACACATTGGGCTATTTGTGATCTGCCAACCACGGGTATCGAAACTCAGTTTCTATACTTCAGAACTGGGTATTTTAAATAGAGCCTTTTTATTCCGACAGAGAGCTGCATCGTCTGATAATTCTTGACCTCTGCGTGTTACAAACGAGTAGTGTTGTTACTGTTGTGTACAATGGCACGTAAATACTGGTATTAGTGTTGATACTGTTGCATTTTACAGTATTACGATAGTATAGATTGTGTACAAATTGATAATTAAGTTGAAGCGAAATAAGTTAATATAATTATTTTTAATTTAAGTAAGGTAAAACTAGGTATGTAGTACCAATGATAATGTGTAGTAATTTATGTATAGTAAAATTTGTGTTGTACTCAACTAGAGAAGTTGTAGACTTTGCTTTTGGCCTGAATATTGTTATTGTTAACTAGTTTCGACGATAATGATTCGTCAAAAAAGTACTTTGCAGAATCGAATCGAACCATTCGTAACAGGTCAGACGAAGTTAGCAACGACAAAAAATTTTTAACCAGGAAATTTGGATTCTATTCTACTACTGCACCTTGTAGTTGCACTACTAAATACAAGTTTAAAGTTTACCACTACTACTTGAACTACTTCTACTAAGTACTATGGCATCCAGGGCCAGGTAAGTGAATTTAAGTTCATGATTTGAATGAATATTTGAGCAGTATAAAACTTGTAATTTATTTTTAGTAAAGTAATAGACATACATAAAAAGTATGTAATATTATTATTAGTTGTGTAATTTGTCTGTAATAATATTATAAATCATTTACTCAAAATGCAGGCTGTAATGTACATCAGCTTTTATATATGTTTTTCATTTATTTGAACTAGATCCTGAAGTTTAAAGCTGATGTAGTGGACAAGGGTTTTTGATATGCTTGATGTTAAAGCATTTAGGATGATCTACCTCAGCTTTATATAAATCATATGCTAATGAAAAATATGTTTTCTTCATTTTCCAAGTAGTACCAAAGTGGCATATGATTCATATAGGATATTCTATTTTCTATCACCATTCTATTCCAAACTATGTATAAACCTCTTTTTCCTTATCCTCTAAAGTAGTATTTATCAAGTCTCCTCCTAAAGTCCTTCAGTGTTGTGGCTTTTGCCATTCTGAAGATAAACTATGCCATAGATTTTAATCTATCCTCATATAATAACTCCTTTAAACCTAGAATAACCATGATGGTTTTCTCCAGACCATTTTCACCAACTCAACGTTCTTTCTTAAGCAAAGATGACAAAAACTAAACTCAGTTATCCAAATTAGTTCTAATAATTACTTTTAAGAGTGAATAATGACCTCTTTTTATTTATTTTTATCATTTAAGATAACAAGTGGATTGTGGACAACAAGGGACTGTTTGGTCCTTCAAAACTGTTCTTGCATATCCACAAACCCTTGAAAAAAGTAAAAAAATTAAACTCACTCTCTTATTTTTGTTAATTATCAATTTCCCACTTTAACTTTTTCAGCATGGGCTCAGTCCCTGGGACCGATCTCATAACCATTTAGTGCTAATTATAGTTTTCATACTATAACTTTTAAATTAGTAAGTGAATGTTAACGAAAGTTGGCAGATTATTAGTAAACATTACAATGCTTTCATACACAAAATATAAAATTTTTCTTATCAAGTCTTAAGGTTTTTAAAGCAATATTTTTCTCATGTCTTTTTTTTCTTTTCTACATGTTGCCTATCTATCATGCAAAGTAATTTTCATTTTAAGATTAAAAATACTTTTATGCAATCAGAAAATTTTCAAATTTCACATGCAAAATCTTTATAATGTCCAGATAGTTATCAATCATTTCTTAAGAAAACACTTTATATCTGTTATTTTCAGTAATTAATGTCATTGTGGGTTCAGTAGATGTGACTGATCTCGCAACCACCATAAAAAATTAGGAAATAAATATAAATTATGCCTCTTTCATTCTAAAATGGACACAAATTATTACCTGAAAACATGAATGCTTAGACTAAATAGCTTAAATCTCATAACATTATACATTTATCTATATTTATATGACCTTTGAGCCGTGTCTGACTAATAATACAAAAGTTACAATGACAAGGCTCATATGCACTCATGTTGTATCAAATAACAGAAAACTGACCTTTGGTCTGTACAAAGTAACTTGTCTTGTCTGTGTTTTAGTAGATTAGTATTTTGTAAAATTAGTCACATTTCAATTATTATACATTATATATGAATATAGATTATTACTATTTTGAAATAAGTTCTTAAACTTATTTTTCTTAAAACATGGAACATTAAATCAAGAAGTAAAGCCAAAAATTATCTCTTCTAGTTACGACCTTTGTACCATAGAATTACACTATAATTTATGAAGCTTAGTAACTAAGATGTATTTTAGTCTAAAAAAATGTGAAATTTCAAGCAGACTAAAGAAATAAATGGAAAGAGGTGGGTGGGGTGCCACTGTATTTGATTTATTAAATAAGCAATATCTTAGCAAATAGAAAAAATAATACCTTCTTATTCTATATTCTAGCTTGTCAATATCAGTAATCGAGTTTCTAATTTGTACGAAACTACAGACTTAGTATTTTGACTTCACAAAGATCTAATTTGAACCAGTGTTGCATTCAACATACCACGTGACACATAAAAATCAATGTTTACCAGTATTTTTTTAATATTTACTTTTAAATTTAGAAATTGAGTAATGTATAGTACTAATATTTGAATTATAATCTACAGTTTGATATAAAATGTATAGACATAAATTCATGAAATAGTAGTTCAATAAGATTTTGAATGGGAGTCAATAAATAAGATGAATCGGCCTTTCACCCATGACACGTCTCGAAAGGGTTAATGCAAATTTTGCATACTAAAGGAAAGATTCTAACATTCCTTAAAGACTGAAGAGAGTATCTCACTAGAATGATGCCTATTTTCAGTAATAATAACTAAATGCAGGGGTTGCCAAATATATTTGCCATTTAGGAGTCAGGCTAGTAGATTAACCCAGTAAAGAGCAAGGGAACCATTTCCACCTTGTACCAAGAAAATATGTGACCCAATTCTAAATTTTGTGCAAGTTATGCATCTTAGACACACACATGCACACTGCTTTTTGTGCAATGTAATGTTTACAGTGCTTTGAAGGTGAAGCAGTCATGCATTGTGAGATTTAAGAAAAATTATATATGTATATGGGTTCTGTTTTTTTTTTTTTGCCAGTTGTCGAAATAAATAGCTTTTATTTATATTTCTTAATAGTATAATTATATACTGTGTAGTTGTTAGGCTTAGGATTCTTCTACAGTAGGTGTCTGTGACTTGTTAGTAATAAATTCAACTATGAATAAACAGCACACACTTGTTTTCAAATAATATATATATATTTGGAAAAAGTTAAATGCATGTACAATAGTGTTCACACTATAGAGAATATAAGCATATCTAAGCATTATATCAGTATATGTATAGTTCTCTTCTTGTCAAAAGTCCACTTAGGCCTTTTCAATTACTTTAGAATCTCAGTTGATAAGCCGTACTATTTTCTCTAATACTATTGGAATATTAGCCTGGTGTGATTAACTTATGATTGTGGTCTTCTTTCTTCTAAAGATCAATGTTCCTTTTGTGAAAGTCCTCTCAGGCTGCTTCAATTACTTTAGAATCTCAGTTGATAAGCCGTACTATTTTCTTTAATACTATTGGAATATTAGCCTGGTGTGATTAACTTATGATTGTGGTCTTCTTTCTTCTAAAGATCAATGTTCCTTTTGTGAAAGTCCTCTCAGGCTGCTTCAATTACTTTAGAATCTCAGTTGATAAGCCGTACTATTTTCTTTAATACTATTGGAATATTAGCCTGGTGTGATTAACTTATGATTGTGGTCTTCTTTCTTCTAAAGATCAATGTTCCTTTTGTGAAAGTCCTCTCAGGCTGCTTC